TTAGGGTTCAGGGTTTAGGGTCTTTCTCGTTCAGGGCTTCAGGGGTTTTCAGGCTAGGCTTTTGAGTTTAGCCGGTCTGAACAGGATTGAAAAGGGTTGCAAAAGGCTTTGTAAGGGGGGGGTTCGGGGTTCGAAGAAGAGGTTTCTGGATTTCATCAGGCTGAGATTCTCAGCGAGGATGGGATGGGATGGGATGGATGGGTGGATGGATGGATGGATGGATGGATGGATTCATGGATGGATGGAAGGATGGATGGATGGATGGATGGATGGAGGGAGGGATGGATGGATGCAAGGATGCATGGATGCATGGATGCATGGATGGACAATTCCGGTTTATCTAATCACACTATAACCTAACTCACAGCCATAGTCCTAAGTAGTAAGGACCAAAAGAAAGAGACCGCCATCGGATAGCTTCCTGAGGCACTGGCCTCCGTTCTTCCACTCGTTCCCTTGACACTGGTCGCCAACGAGGCCAGATGGATCCTCGCAACGTGGAAGGCGCAGGGGAGTCCTTCTGAATGACGAGTCCCTTGAGGGTGGCTACTTTTAAAAATGTGCGGTTCCATTACTACCTCCTCCTCCTCCTCCTACTCCTACTGCCACTCCCACTCCCACTCCCACTCCCACTCCCACTCCCACTCCCACTCCCACTCCTACTCCTACTCCTACTCCTACTCCGACTACTCTTACTCCTCCTCCACCTCCGCCGATGGCGACCCCGGTCCGGCGACGACCAACGACGACTACGACTACTATCACCACTCCAGCTCTTCCCCCTCCTTCTTTCACTGCATCACATACAAGTTCAAGGTATGAAGATTCAATGACACACTAGGTGGCAGTTTGGGGCAACTTCAAAAACTGCCCTTATGGCTCCTATATATAGAGGTACCTATTCGTAAATACTTTTCAAGGCCCCAAAACTGCAAAGGAGACCCCGACGCCCACCCTAAACTCCTAAACCCCTAAACCAAACCCTAAACCCCTAAACCTTAACTAACCCCTAAACCCTAAACCCTAAACTCCTAAACCCTAAACCCTAAACCCTAAACCCCTAAACCGTAAACCGCTAAACCCTAAACTCCTCAACCCTAAACCCTAAACCCCTAAACACTAAACTCCCAAACCCTAAACCCCCAAACCCCTAAACCCTAAACTCCTAACCTCTAAACCCTAAAACCCTAAAACCCTAAACCCCATGCCAGGCTCGCGAAGCGCCGCACGTGTTGATCTGGTCATCCTCGGGATTGCGCATCCTCACCTTCCTCACCTGCGCGGCCTCTTGGTCTTTTGGGGGTTCATGGGTTTAGGGTTTTAGGGTTTACGGTTTGGGGTTCAGGGTTTTAGGTTTAAAGTTTAGGTTTCAGTGTTTTTCGGGGTTTGTTCTGTAGGGGTTCATACGGCCTTATAAGGTTCCATAAAGGTTCTATACGGGTTCTATAAGGGCTCTACACGGGTTCAGAGACCAAGGCATCAGCAGTGTCCACCGCGCACTTGGCATGGAAGCCAACACAAGGCCTTTCGGACACTTGCCGCGCCGTGCATTGGAGCACCCTTGGCGTTTGCTTCCTTTGCGCCCCCTTCTCGCTGGCCTGCAGCCTAATTCGTGCCCGAACTCCACCCAGCACGCAGAACCCCCTCTGTGAGGGGGTGGCGGACAGCAACGCGGGGTAGAGACGGCAGAGCCCGATCTACCCCAACGAGGACATGGACAGTTTTAACCCCGACCCAAATCCTAAGCCTAAACCCTGAACCCAAAACCCTGAACCCAAGACCCTAAACCCTAAACTCCTAAACCCTAAAACCGTAAACTCCTAAACCCTAAACTCAAAATCCGAAACCCCAAGGAGACGCTCCTTGAGTTTTAACCCCGAAGTTTCCCTTTCAGCGGGGCATGGGGCTCCCTGAGAGGACTGCAGGATTTTGCAGCTTCCGGAGAAAATGTCGCTCCGGTTTGGGGTTTAGGGTGTAACGTTGCATCATTAACCCTAAACCCTAAACCCTGAAACCCTAAACCCTAAACCCTAAACCCTAGACCTAAACCCAAAACCCTAAACCCTATTTCATCAGGGTTTAGGGCTTAGGAAAGCCTTAAGCCCCCAGATCCGAAAGCCTCAAACCTAAAACCTTGTTCTAAGCTTGAGGCGTTGAGCTTCGGGGTTTAGAGTTTAGAGGTTTAGGGTTTAGGGGTTTAGGGTCGTTTGGAGGCACAGGGAGCCCAATTTGTCTTAGAAGGTACCTTTTGTGTTACATAAAGTTCTTTTTTCAGGCTTTCCTATGCTCTCGCCATGGGTCCACACCAGCCCACTATAATCTAGCGGCCCAGATAATGACCAATCCTATTTTGGGGATTCTTTCTTATTATAACTGTAGTAAAAGAGACACCGAAACCCTATTCTGATTATTAAGGCCTCTAAACCCTAAACCCTTATAGTAGCCCTTATAATGGAGCCCTTTAAGGAACCCCTCAAGGAACCCCAAGTACCATATTCTAGTTATTATAAGGCCCATACGTTACATTGCAGACTTTTTTGTGCAAGGGGGGGAGGAGGTCGAAGTACTCCTTCTCATTATGGTAAACCCCAAAAAGTTGGAAAGCGGATTAAGGACGCTTAGTGCTGGGAACCCCTATACATTGCTCTTCAGGATTGAGGCTATTGGGTTTCCGACTTTTTGGCTTCTACTGTATAACTTTGTTACGCAGGGGCCTCAATCTTTGCAATAAAGTAGGGGCCTTAGTAATTAGACTAGTTTTTTTTTTTTTTTGGGGGGGGGGTCCTTTTTTTTTTTATAATTACAGTACATTATACCCCAAAACCCTATTCTAAGTATTGATGCCTCAATAACCCTCAAACCTAAACCCTAAAGCCCAAACCCGAAAGACTAAACCCTAAAGCCCAAACCCTAAACCCCTAAACCCTAAACCCTAAAGCCTAAACCCTAAACCCCTAAACCCCTAAACCCCTAACCCGAAAGCCTAAACCCTAAAAGAGAGGAACAGATGTGGAACTAAAGCCCTCGTTCAAGTGCGCAGCCATCCTCACCTTTGCATTGTGCGATCTTTGGGCTTTCGGGGTTTAGGCTTCAGGGTTTAGGCTTTCGGGTCCAGGCTTTAGGGTTTAGAGTTTAGGCTTTCGGGTCCAGGCTTTAGCGTTGAGGGTTTAGGCTTTCGGGTCCAGGCTTTAGGGTTTAGGGTTTAGGCTTTCGGGTCCAGGCTTTAGGGTTTAGGGTTTAGGCTTTCGGGTCTAGGCTTCAGGGTTGAGGGTTTAGGGTTAAGGCTTGAGGGTTTAGGGTTTAGGCTTTCGGGTCTAGGCTTTAGGGTTTAGGGTTTAGGCTTTCGGGTCCGGGCTTTAGGGTTTAGGGTTTATGCTTTCGGGTCTAGGCTTTAGGGTTTAGGGTTGAGGGTTTAGGGTTAAGGCTTGAGGGTTTAGGGTTTAGGCTTTCGGGTCTAGGCTTTAGGGTTTAGGGTTTAGGCTTTCGGGTCCAGGCTTTAGGGTTTAGGGTTGAGGCTTTCGGGTCTAGGCTTTTGGGTTTAGGGTTGAGGGCTTTAGGGTTTAGGGTTGAGGCTTTCGGGTCTAGGCTTTAGGGTTTAGGGTTGAGGGTTTAGGGTTAAGGCTTGAGGGTTCAGGGTTTAGGCTTTCGGGTCTAGGCTTTAGGGTTTAGGGTTCAGGGTTAAGGCTTGAGGGTTTAGTGCTTAGGAGTTTAGGCTCGAAGCTTTAGGGTTTAAGTTTAGGGTTTAGGGTTTTGCGTTTAGAGTTTAGCGTCTAGGGTTTAATGTCTACCCTGAGCATCTGAGGGGTCGGGTTCCCTGGCTGAGGGATTCGGGGATTAAGGGGTTCAGGGTTCTGGGGCTTTGGCGTTTAAGGGGTTTAAGGGGTTTAGAGTTTAGGGGTTTCGGGTTTAGGGCTTTAGGGGTTTAGGGCCTACAGTTTAGGGGTTGAAGGGGTTCGGCGTCACTTGGATTTGACACCAGTTCTTGTAGTGTAGGGGCCTGAGTCGAGTCTAGCTGCAGCAGCCGCTTCTTGCATCGAAGCTCGATGGTTGTGGCTAGCAACGGATGTGCGGCGCAGTTTTGCAAAGTGTATTGTTGTTAACCTCTCTTGTTTTCCTAAAATCCTAAACCCTAAACCCTGAACTCCTGAACCCTAAACCGTAAACTCCTAAACCCTAAACCCTAAACCCCCCTAACCCCTTATACTCCTCAACCCTCAACCCTGAAAAACTCTTTTTGTTGGTGTGAGCCTTGTGAAGGTTCACGGTTGCATACCCGGACCCAGACCCCCAAAAGGATCTAAAAACTAGATCCCCCCAATTAGGGACCCTAACTCCTAAAGGGTACTTTATAGGAACCCCCTTAGGGATCTATTTTTTAGATCCTTTTGGGGGTCTGGCATAGCTTTTGAAGTTGACAGCGCAGGAGCCGGATTCGAGTACTGAGGTTTCGGGCTTGAGGATTGGAGTTGAGGGTTTAGGGTTTAGAGTCTAGGGTTTAGAGTTTAGGGTTAGAGTCTAGGGTTCAGGGCTTAGAGTCGAGGGTTTAGGGTTTAGAGTCTAGGGTTTAGGGTTCAGAGTTTAGGGTTTAGGGTTGACAGCAGGTCGGGATGCACACGACCGAGAACCAGCTCAACTACAGGACAGACCTTGTGCAAGAAGTTGGGACGAGTGATTCAGGGTGGGGCTTTTTGGGATTCATTTAATATGTCGCAGTATCGCAGCTCGAACGTTCATTCGTAAAAGAATACTACTGGGTATTGCCGCACATTCTAAACTCCCTGCTTTAAGCTGGGCCTAGGAAGTAGAACATGCTCTCAGCAACAGGCATTCTATGTGAAATGCCGGCAACACAAACACCCGTAATATAGAGGCCTGAATGATTTTCTCTACTATTTTGGGGGTTCCTTATCATAATTACAGTATAATAGAACCCGAAAGCCCTATTCCAATTATTAAGGCCCCTGTAGGGATATCCAGCGCCCTTCACTTCACTTCAAGCCGTATGGGTTCGATAGGTGGGTTCTACTTCCAATGCAAGCCCCAAACCCTGAGCCCTAAACCTAAAACTCCCAACCCTAAGCCCTACCTGTAGCCGAAAAGACCTACCTTTTTGTGGAACTATATATAGAAACCATAATAATGAACCGTAAAAATGTAGGTCTTGTCGGCTACAGGTAAACTCTTAACCCTGGGCGCAGAGCCATAAACCCTAAACCTTCAACATTGAACCCTAAGCCGTAGGTTCTAAATCCTATAAACTCTTAACCCTGAACCTTAAACTGGGTGTAAGGTTTATGGTTGCATGCCCCGGTAATCCCTCCAAACCAGGCAGATCAGGGGCGATGCTCGCTACAAGCTTGTCGCGTTTAGGACCTAGCGAGTTTAGGGCTTAGTGTTTACAGTGTAGGGTTTAGGGTTTGGTATTGAGGGTTTCGGGTTTAGCTACGGCGATTCTTGACGGGCCCGGCCAAGAAAGGTCTTTCTACTTAGGGTCTATATGAGGACCCCTTCATTTTTGGAAACTTCCGTATCTCAAGACAAACCTCGTACACACCCTGAATAGTAAAGTGTTGCTCTACACCCAGAACCCTAAGAAGGACCCAATACTTGGTTAGTAAGATCATCATTTGCTTGCTGATCACCTACGACACGCACACTACAGCTCAAACTTCCTGAGCCTTAGGCTCTCAAGGCCACAAACCCCAAACCCTAGCAACCGGCCAAAGCTGGGCGGCAGCTTCGTGGCTCTGCGGCCAAGGATTTGCTTGACACAGGGCTTAACAAAGAGGTCGGACTCATTGTCAGTACTAATGCTTATCATAGTGCTAGCAGCAACATTGCTAATAATATCCTCCTATACTTCTACTATAGCTGAACCGGAAACCATACTCAATGTCTAATTTCTGTGTGGTAGTTCTATGCAGAGACCGGAGCTCGCGCAGCAGACTCCGGAAGCCAAAAGACCTACCAGCGCCAAAACATCTTTGAGTTTCCACATGATATAGATGTCTTTATAATTACCTATGCTATTTTTTTTTTGGGGGGGGTTCCTTATTATAATTTTACTATAGAGGACCCCAAAACCTTATTCTAATGATTAAGGCCCCTACACTAAAGTCACTATTTTGGTGGCTTTGCATGGCCCCAGCCCAAAAGCCTCAACTCTCAAGCCCCTAGACCCCGACTGGACGGTAGGCTCGAAGGACATCTTAGGATTGAGAACTTAGGGTTTAGGGTGTAGGGATTAGGATTTAGGGCTTTGGGTTCAGGATTCAGGGTTTAGGGTTTAGGATTTTGGCGTTTGAGGCATCTTTAGGGTTTTTGTAGGTTGAGAGCCGTCAGCCCTGCGAGCCTTCTGCGCCATGGCAAGCTCCGGCCCCAATGGAAGAGGCTCGGCTTCGGGGGGCTTGGGGGGAGTCTGCCTAAGGGTTAGGGGTTTAGGGGTTTAGGGTTTAGGGTTTAGGGTTTAGGGGGTTAGGGGTTTGGGGTTTAGGGTTTAGGGTTTAGGGTTAAAGCCCTATACCCTAAACCCGAAGCTCGCAGCTCTAAGCCCCAATCTTAAACCCTAAGCCCTAAACCGGCGGGTGAGTTTAGGTTTACGAGGTTCGGGATTTCAGGGTACAAGGGGTCAGGGTACGTCGCACCCCCAGTTACGGCCCTACACTTTTGAAGGGTGCTTC